GCAAAACGCTAAGTGTGGGGGAGTTGTTTGCTATGTTTTTGTGCTTATTTTCTTGTATTTTATGTGTTAGTCAAGTCGTTTTTAGGCTCGTTTGAGTGTCAACCGGTCCATGTTATCGTGTTTTATGTGTTTTTATTTTTATTATGTATTTTTGTATTTTGCCATATTTTTGCGTCTCTTTTGGTGTGTTATATAGGTCCTATTTACATGACCGGTAAGACGAGCAATTTTCTGAGACATTTTCGAGCCATGTCCGAACCTTATCCGAGTCATCCCGAGCCATTTATGAGACATGAGGTGCACAAGGCGTTTGCCCGCGAATGACTGCTCGCAACCAAATCATAGGCTCCCAGGCCACTCGCGGCGAAACGGTGTTCGCGTGCCGCGAGAACACCCATGCCAACCTTGCTAAACCCCACACACTCGCCAGCGAACGGCATTTGGCATCCCGCGAAGACAATGCGAACATGACCCCTACACGCATGCAATCGCTGGCGAACTCCTTTTCGCGTGCTGCGAAACGCGAGCCCCAGCAGCCCCATCAGTGCACTCGCCGACGAACTCCTCTTCGCGAGCCGCGAAACGCCCATCTGCAGCTCCCAAGACCCAACTCGCCAGCGAACTCCCGTTGGCGACCCGCAAAACACCCATTCCAGCACTATTTCATGCCCAAACTCGCTACGAACTCTGTTTCGAGACCCGCGAACTGCAGAATTTCATTAAATGTGTGTGTTTTTAGTGTGTGTTTGTAGTGTAGCTATTTAAAGACATTTTGCTTTGTATTTTTGGGGAACAACTCTCATTTCCCAACTTTTAAGTTGGGAAAATCCTCTCTATTTCTCTTTTTTCTTTTTTATGCTTGGTTTAGGAGCTCTATTACTCATATTTTCCGGCAAGTTTCCGGCGACATCATTTTATTTCAAGTTTCGAACTTTTCCATCTGGTGTTCTTCACGCATGCATTAGGAGAGTCGGTAATTAGCTTTAATCCTCATTACTTCGAATTTGCCCTCTTTTGCTTATGATGTGTTTCAAGGTGAATGTGGTTTTGCTTGTTGATCGGAGGAATGTTCCATTCTTGTAGCTCGTCGACGTGTGTTAGGGATTAGTTTGTGCTTATCTTGTTTAAAGATTGCGACTTTGTTTAAAAGTGTAGTCATTTAGTAGAAAGCTCGATTTAATGACCTAGGATCACTTGGCAATGTTGATGTCCCTCGGTTCTTTTTGTGTTGGTTCGAGTGATAGAGACCCCGGTTAACCTAAAGCTCTCATCTTTGTTTTTAAGTTTTCATTTGCTTTCGATTTCCATTTGCGAGTAGTGTTTAAATCAAACCCCCTCAATTTACGAGTAGAATGTTTAGGACCTTTTTGGTTGTGTGACTTTGACGACTAGGTAGTGAACGAAGCTCCGAAGAGTCTTCCTTTGAGAACGACCCGAGTCGGATACCTCGGTTACCACATGCCCAAAATATTACTCAACAATTCATTTTAGGAATATGCCCTGAAAACAACAGTTTACATTATGAACTTTGTACCTTCTAAATCAGTGTCATCTGTGGAAGTAAGCCTAGTCTAAGGCATATCCGTATATGGAGTAGCCCAACACATGTGCTAAGGGAGATGCTCATAAGTTGGAATCGCGTTCGGAAGTAAGGCTGTTTGTGGGATATTCCTAAGAAACTAAGATCGGTTTGTTCTATAGTCATGAGGACTAGAAAGTGATCATTAGCACAAATATTCGGTTCTTCAAAGAAGACTATGTGATGGACTACAAGCCAATAGTACAAATGTCTTAAAGGAGTGAAAGGGGGTTGATACTTCAATACCACGTGCACATGATGTTACACCACATGATACTGCAACACGTGTCACCGACGATGCACTTGAGTCTGTAGTACCTCGTCGTAGTGGGAGGGTTGTCAGATAGCTTGATCGATTCCAATTAGAAAAAGAAGCCAACTTCTTGCATTCATATGAATCAACAGTTCTCTGAAGGTGCAAATTTCTTGTAAACCTCAACACAATACAGTCAGCCATATGTTCGAAGAATTAATTGCAGCATTCACAACATCCTGATGACTCCCCTCTGGAATAACTGGGAGGATCCGTCGGAAGTCCTCATCGTGAAATATGATTTCCAAGTAATTATTGTATTGAGCCTCAAATATGTGTTCAATTATTCGTATTGTACGCAACTTCATGGGTAGCTTCTTAGTTCCAGTGACATTTTTTATCAGACCAAATTCCCACTTCATGTTGAATTGAATTAAATAAGATAACTCGTGTATTTGTGTAATAAAAATTAAATCGAAAGTAGAATGAGTACACAACACCGATCTACACTGAATATATAGGTTAAGAAGAATGAAGTATATTTTAGATCATTTTCATAGTATGAAAATATTTTAGCAAACGCAATAAATTACCTATGATTCATGTCAATTTTTAAACGTGCATAAATAACACTTATTATATTTTGTAATGACAAAGATTATTCTATGTAATTCACAAGTTTTTTGGTTAATTTGATGCTATTATATTTTTTCTTATTTATATATTACAAATTAGTCAATTGATGATTTGCAGTGTGGTTATGTAATACTTGATTTTGAGATTTTTTACAATTATATTTTGGTTATTTGATAATCAGTTAATAATTTGATTATATCAGATATATTGAATCAAATCGACAATGTCGATTTTTTTATGTAGATCTCGCATATTTTTTGGTTGTTTCATAAATTTGGCCATTATGAAAGGAAATTATGAAAGTTTTTTGTTAAAGAACAATTAATACGATATTTTCAGATAACATGGCAAGCGTGAGATCAGCTATGGTGGTTGTGGTCGTAGACTTGGCCCAATTTTCTATTTTTGTGGGATATTTATATACATCATTCTGTATAACTATTTTCACCATGTTTAGCTACTTCTGCTTGCAGTTCAGTTTATAGTTATCGAATTTGCATGTTAGTATTTCATAATAGCAGTATTACCCAGTCCATTAGTA